AGCAAATAGGGATAGTTTGACTTCTTCCCTACCAATATGGATGCCTTTGATTTCCCTTTCTTGCCTTATGGCCCTGGCTAGGACTTCCAGTACAATGTTCATTTTCAATATTATACTAACAAACCCATGTCATAAGAGTGCTATGTGAGATTAATAAAAGGGATGTTCTGGCCCAGTGCTGTCTAATAAAAATATAATGTAAGCCACAAATGCAAGCCAAGTGTGTAATTTAAAAATATTTCACAGTCACATTTCTAAAAGTTTAAAATGACAGGTAAAAATAGTATTTTTATTAACTCAACTTATCAAAAATATTATTTCTACATGTAATCAGCATAAAAATATGAATGAGCTCTTTTATGGTTTTTCTTTTGTACCAGGTCTTCAAAATCCAGTATGTATTTTACCATTACAGCACATCTTAATTAGGCCCAGCCACATCCAATGACTTGGTAGCCACATGTAGTTCATGGCTACTGTACAGGATAGCACAGGACTATAGTCTATCAAAAAATATAATGTCAAGCTCTAGGTAATATTATACATTGATTAGGTAGATCAGGAGTCCCTGGGTGATGCAAACAATTAACACACTGGGCTGCTAACCAAAAGCCTGGAGGTTCGAGTTCAACCAGAGGTACCTTGGAAGAAAGGCCTGGTGATTTACTTCTGAAAAATCAGCCATTCCAAACTCTGTGGAGCACAGTTCTACTGTGATACACACGGGGTCACCATGAGCCAAGGGTTGACTGAGCAGCAACTGGTTGGCTATGTAAACAAACCAGACAGGTCCTGTCTGGAACTGAGTGGCCAAGTCCTGGCCATCTAAGAGAAAATTGAAGATCACACAGGATGCACCAGGCCCATTGATAGCTACATCCTGCAGTCACCAGCTCCTTCCACACTCACACTGTCCCCTCAATTTTCTGAACCATCTCCTCCCCCATGTTCCCTGGAGCACTGACTGGATTCTTCTGGCAAAGGGATTTGAACCCAGGTGTTAATCATGAAAGAATCCTGCTGGCACAGTGCTTAAGCACTGGGCTGCTAATGGAAAGGTTGGTGGTTTGAATCCACCAGCTGCTGCATAGGAGAAAGAAGTGGCCGACACCTTCTGTAAAGATTTATAGCTTTGGAAACCTTATGGGGCAGTTCTACTCTGCCCTATAGGGTTGATAAGTTGGAGTCAACTCATGGTGATGGGTTTTGATTTTAGGTTTAATAATGGCTTATATAGGAGCTCTGGTAGCATAGTGGCTAAAGCACTTGACTGCTAACCAGAAGGCTGGCAGTTCAAACCCACCAGCCACTCCTCGGAAGGAAGTTTGGGCAATCCTACTTCCGTAGTGATACTGCCTCGGAAACCCAAGGAGGGGTCGCTATGAGTCGGGGCCGACTCAACGGCACATAACAACAACAACAACAATGGCTTATATGTTGGTGTTCACAGCTCAGAAGGGCCTCCCAAGAAAGGGTGGTGAAGGGTGGAAATCTTTAAAGCATCCTAGGCATCCCTGGGTGGAACAAATGTTTAAGTGTTCAGCTATTAACCAAAAGGTTGGCAGTTTGAACCCACCCAGACGTACCTCAGAAGAAAGGCCTGGCAATCTATGTCTGAAAAATCAGTCATTGAAAACCCTTTGGAGCACAGTTTTAATCTGACATACCTGGTGTCAGCATGAGTCAGGGCTGACCCAATGGCAACTGGTTTTGGTTACTGGTGTGTGAGTGGATACTTTACAAGATTCTTTCTGGGCTCATCAAGCCCAACTTTGGAGGCAGTCCCAGGAAACTCCATAAAGAACCAAAGGACCAGAAATCAAAACTGAGAAAGGAAGGCATGAGTACCAGCTTCTTGATGTTTGAAGCTTAGCACACCCAAAATAGTGTGCTCAGCCCAGAGTGCCTGAAGTGCTGAAAACTACTCTCTACTTCATGGCATTTCACCCCAGCCCCCAGAGACCTCAGACCTGACTGCCCTTGCTCTAGGACAGCCGGCATTCTTTTGTGTCCTCCTTCCCACACAAGCTCCAGGAACTAGACCAGAGCAAGTTCGTAATCTGGCAATAAATTGGGTACCAGCAGAGGAGAAGAACCCAGGTCCACTCTCAAGTTCTCCTCTCTCAGAGACAGAGGACGTGGTGCCAAGGGCCTGTCCCCAAGGCCTTCCCAGTCTGGCTAAAGGATGAAGTATTCTAAGACTTCTCAGAGGAATCCCAAAACTAGCTGGGAGGGGCAGACTCACCCTTAGGGTGAACTGTGGGAACAGGAGCTCATTCTTGGAATAGTGGTGGTCAGAGGTCAGGCTAGGCAGGAGCCATCAGGGAAAGTATCCTTAAGGAAGAGGACCGAACTGAATCACCCACAAGGACATCCTTATTTGGGAGCATCAAAGGGAAACTGAGTGTGAAAGCTATGTGGAATGGTACAAATGGGACAAATTCTCATTATTCATTTACAGTCCACCTCTGCCCTGACCAGTGCATAAAGATGAGATTTGAAATCTGCCCTCGGCCAGTGCTGAAGCTGTAGCAGCTGCCTGGGCTAGGGGCCTGGTCAGCCTGGGGGTGCAATCCTGACTGTGCCCACTTTTGGCCTTCTCAGATATCACCCATTCCCCAAACCCTCCCAGAGAGTTCCTCTGGTGTCCCCAAAGGTTTAGCCAAGAACACTAAGGAGCCCAGGGGAACCTGTCTGGTCCATCTTCCCACAGGCCAGGACCATGGGTTCTCTGGACACAGCCAATTTTGACCTGAGTCATCTCAAGACCAACCTGGCACCTTTATTGGAACATATCACACTATAGCTCCCCAAAAAGGGACATTTTCAGATATTGAGGGCTAGCCTTGGAGCAGGAGTGGCCCTGCTCCCTAAGCTTGACTGGGCCCCAGTCACTCAACTCCAACCCAAGACCACTGGGGACCTGGGCCACAGGGGTCCTGTGTGTCTGCCACTGCTTCTTTTCTGGACTGTTGTGGCTTGGTGACAATGACATCTGAACCCAGCTTCTATAGCATGGCATTAAAGATTGCATTCTTCGCTGCCTCTTCACTCACATCCTCGGACGATGAATCCTCAGTTAGAATATCAGAAGTGCCTTTGTAGTATGGGTCCTGGCTTGCCTCTTTCTGGAAGCTGAGCAAAGCAGCAAGTTTGAGGCCCCTTCAGCCATGATGGGCTCTGCATCCCCGGAGGGGTGGGGCCTTCCCATACCTGCAGGTCCTCGCCAAGCTTCTCCATGGGTCCATGAGGAACTCTTACTTCCAGGATCAGACCTGCTCTCTCTCCTAATGCTAGCCAGACTCTTTACTCCTCCATGTCTTTAGGTTTCTGTCTACCATCTTCACTGATAACACTTACTGAGCACTTGCTATGTGCCAGACACTGTGCCAACTGCATTACGTGGGCTTAATCCTCCCCCAAACTTCCATGGGTGAGGAAGGCTGGGCTATGTGGCTTTACCTCTCTGTGCCTCTGTTTCATCATCTGTAAAATGGTGGGTTAACAATAGGACCTACCTCACATGAGGTTTTTGTGAGAACAAAAATGAGATAAGGCATAGATAGGTCAGGACCTGACACATAGCACATGCTCAGCAAATGTCAGCTATTGTTATGACAACATTACCCTTTCTGCAAATGAAGAAAGTGAGTCTCAGAGGTGTTAGGTAATGGTAGCACAGAAATAGACATGCAGATGTCACTTCCTCTATGAAGCTTGCCCTGGCTCCCCCAAATGAAGTTCTTTCCTTCCTGGGCTCCTATAGGCCCTGCACATCCCTCTGTTAGAACCTGCTGCTGCTGTTTGCGTATCTGTCTCTCCACAAACTATGGTTCCCTCTTACCTCTGACAGTACAGCCTCTGGCACAATGCCTAGCACAGAGTTTGAGGGAAGGAGGGAAGGAGGAGAAGAATGATGGGAGAAGAGAAGAGGAAGGCCAGAGGCAGCAACCCCTTTGGTACAGAGCAGAGGGCCAGAGGGCACTGTGGGACCTTAGGCAACCTCTGAGCCTCACTGGTCCTCAGGTTTAGATCCTGGAAACTGCTATGGGCTCTGCTGGTCAAACCCCAGAAGGGATGGTTCTACCAAGTACAACTGGTCTCCCCCAAAGGACACTCCGCCTTCCCCCAGGGCCCAGCAGTGTCCATGAAGGATAGAATCCAGTTCCCAAATGTAGCCACTGGGGCTGAGGCCAGGGTTATGAATGAACACTGGGTCCTTTAAGAGGATCTGGGAGTTGGGTCAGGAAAGGAGAGGTACTCAGAGAGCAAGATCCATGCCAGTCCCCTGTGCTCTGGGAAGGGAGGGAGGCCAGGGCAGTGCTGGAGTGCCCCTGAGGGGCACCTCCAAAGGCAGTGTTCAGCCCAGACAGACAGCTACCTCCTAAGAGGACAGAAAAGGACCTGGCCCAGGATGGGTCAGGAAAGCCAGGAGGAAGGGAGCTGGCAGAGGCTGGGCTGAAGTTGAGGCAAGCAGGTAGACCTCCAGCAGAGCTAGCAGGCTGCTATAGCGACAGGGTAGCCCTCATGTTGCTGGGCCTTCTAGCAAAGGAGCAGGGCTGGACAGTGACTGACATACTTCCAGTGGCAAGGGCTTGGGGAGCAGGCCCTGTGCTGGCTGGAGCCCGGGCCTCACACACACACACCTTAGCTGTGAGGACAAGTGTTCTATAGTGTCAACGAGGGACTGATCTTGCATTTCTGGCAGCTGGCAGCAGAGGTACAAGGCTAGGGCAGCCGAGCAGAAAGACAGACAGACGGACAGGATGGAGTAGTTCTGCTTGATGAGTAAGGTCATCAGAGACAAGATGGCTCCAGTCACCAAGGCCAGAGACACCAGCCCCAGACCTGTCGACCTGGAAGGGGGAGTGAGAGCTCATCTGGTAGGCGGCACAGGGCCAGAGGCTGGGTGAGGGGAAGGAGGGAGTGGCTCCCATGCAGCCCCACACCCTCCAGTCTTCACTTGGTCCCCACTCCTTGTGCAACTTTGGAGAATTTTGCTCTCCATCGATTCAAAGTGGGTAATAATTTCTTCTGGGTCTGCTTCTTGGTGGGTCAGGAGTGGGGGAAGTAAGAACCACACAGCATCGTGTGGTGTGAGAGAGAAGACAAGGGCAGTGACTCCAGGTGGGCAGGGGATACTGTTGACATCCTCAAGGGCTCCTATGGTGAAAGGTCTGAGCTCAGAGGGGCCCAAACACATTCCAAAAGTGTGAGCAGGCAGGGCTCTGGAGTCAGACTACCTGGGCCCAAATCCCAGCCCTGCCACTTGCTATGTCTGACCTTGAGCAAGTGCTTCATCCTCTGATTTTCTCATCTGAAATAGGATTCGTGATAGCATTTGGGGGGTTTTTGTGAGGGTTAAGAGAGGTGATCCATGTAAAGTTGTTAGCACAGTGCCTGTCACCAGGTAGCTGTTCTTATTAATGTTGTGATTGTCTGCCCCTCCCCATGCACAAACCTCCCCCTTCCCCTCTAGGCCCCATACCTGAGGACAGTGGGTAAGAGTTCAGCAGTGTAGATGAGGAGCAGGGTGATTGAGCTGGCCAGGCTGAACTCTCCAGTCAGGGTCACCAAGGTCACCGTCAATTTCAACTCTGTGACCAGCCAACACAGGCCACTTGAGTCTGGGCCCATTACCACCTCAGGGGGAGGGCAAAGAGGGAGGGAATCCTGCCCCCAGGCTGCCCTCCCTCAGCCCCTCCCAGAAGGCATCTTAACAGTCCATCCCCACCACCTGTCAGCTGGTCAGCAGACTCAAGCATTCGGCCAGAGAGGGTCAGTCTGCCAGAGGCCTAGCCAAGCTGTGGATTAGTACATCTATAGTAGGAGAGCTGGTCAGCAGGGCTGAGAGGTTCCACTGGGATCTTGCTGGCCTCACAGGCCACCATCCATCAGGCTGGGCCCAGCCCCCACACCTCTGCCAACAGTGCTCTCTCTCCTCTTCCAAATTCTCACCCAGTGGCAGGTTTGCCCCGCCCAACCTCACCCCACTTGCCTGCTCCCTCCCTGGGCATCCACTTAGCTCCCAGGCCCACTCAGCAAACCCTCCTCGAATCCTGTGGACCAGGCTTCCAACTTAGGGCTCTCTCACCTAGGCCCTGCTTTCTCTCCTCCCCTTCGATCTACTTTGAGGTGGATAGGCACAACGGGAGCCTGAACACCTAGGACTGGTTCTGGGTAGCCGCATGTGTACATTGAAGGAGAAAGAAAAAAAGCCAGCATCCAGGGAACCCCTTCTGTGGGCATGGTGAAGTTGGGGTGTGGAGGCTGTGCTCATGGCCTGGAGCTGGGCCATTTGCTCTGTCAGCCTTTCCTGGACCTGATGGTAACCCCAATCCCCACTCTAATCCCAGGATGAAATCAGAGATCTAGGCTACTTTTTGGGGATTCTATTCCCAGTTTCTCTCACATGATTCAGAATTTTAAATATTTCTGCTTGATTCACTTACAAAGATCCACTTCTAATAATAAATTTGTTTTCACCAACAGCCAGTCATCACTGCTAACATCTGAGAGAAGGAGAGCCTCATCAAGAAACACCCAAACCCAGTCCCCAGAGGAAGGAGGGAACGCGAGTTGATCCTGGACACAGCTGAGAGAGCTCTCATGTCAGTAATGCTAAGTGTACACTGACCTCTTCGTGTCTAAATTCTAGCCTGGTAATTTGCCAGCTCTGTGACCTGGGGCATATCCATTGTTTTAGGTCTCTTTGATATGCTCAAGATAATTGCCAGCCCTAGCCTGTTTCCTTCTCTAGTTATGAGCCCTGCGGGGAGCAGGAAACAGAGGCCTCCAGACAAGAACTGTTCCTGAGAGTTTAGCCTAATCTTACACTTCATTTTCAGTGGGCAGGTTACAGGTTCCAGACCAAAACCAAAAACCAAACCCATTACTATCAAGTCAATTCTGCTCTTGGCAACCCCAAGTGTTAACAGAGTAGAACTGCTCTGTAGGGCTTTCTTAGGAGTCCCCGGGTGGTGCAATGGTTAAGGGCTAGACTACTAGCCGAAAGGCTGGCGGGCTGAACCCCCAGAGGTGCTTCAGAAGACATGCCTGCAGATCTGCTTCAGATCTTTCAAGGTCACAGCCTTGGAAACCCTAAGGAGCACTTCTACTCTGCACATACAGGGTCGCCAAGAGTTAGAATCAACCCTGCACATATGGTAACTGATTACAACATAACAACAATCTTTATGGAAGCAGACTGCCAGGCCTTTCTTTTGTGGAGCCATTGGGTGAGTTTGAACCACCAACCTTTAGGTTAGCAGTTGAGGGTAAACTGTTTGTGCCACCCAGGGACCTAAGAAGTTACAGAACAGGCATTTCACAATCAAGACAGCTACAGATGAGAAGCAGGGCCTGGAGTAGCAACTGAAGAATGTTTTTGCCATCATCCATTCACATTTAACCATCAGTTTTGCTTCAGATGCACAATGGATGGAATCAGATGGAAGCAGGATGCCCATTGTTCAGAACAAGGACAATTTCTCTGGGCACCATGCCTACCTCTCTCAGGCCTCCAAGAGCGTGCATGTGCCCCCACTGCCAGGAAGCAGACAGTGCCCCAGTGATGAGGCCTGCTCCTAAGGGGCACCCTCCTCAGCGTGGGTGGACTGTGAAAACAGGAGGCCAACTCCCAGATGTATCAGGTTGCTGGGCTGGGCAGGGTGTGCTCAGAGAGTGTTGGAGGGAGGAGGAAGCCTGGGCAGAGAATGGTGAGCTATACCTTCAGGGAGGAGAAGGATACACAGGCACACAAGGGAGGCTTGGAAGAGAGTCAGAGCCAGGGTCCACTTCCTTCCAATATGCTCCACGAGCAATATGCAAAACAGCCGGACAGGCATCTCCAAGAGGCTAGGAATCATCTGTCTGGCATAGTGACTCATGCCAAAATCCTTCACCTTGATGCTCAGTGTTAAATAGCTGTAAGTGACAGTAAACCTAGAACAAAGCCAGGAGAAATATACAGAGAGAAATATAGAAATATAGATAGACGTGCTCTCACGCGCACGCGCACACACACACACACACACACACACACAGAGAGCAAGGAGTATAGGTAGAAGACAGAAGGAGTAGGGCTGGGGCATCAGGAAATACCCACAGAGGTCAGTGATCTATGGGCCAAGCCAGCATCCTACAGGTTTCACCCCATGGCTCCTGTCTCTTGCTCCCCTGGCAGCCTGACCATCCCCATTGCATCTCAGTGTTCCTGGCTTGTATGCCTGCCTGCAGTGACCGCCCACCAGCCCTGAACACTCACCACATGCAGCCTATTATCAAGGTCACCTTGCAGAGGTACATATTGCTATAGGAGTCCAGGACACAGGTCTTACTCTCCTTCTTTCCAGACAGCTCCAGCTACAGGACAAGCAGGACCAGCCAGAGATGGGGCTGAGACCCCAGCTTTACCTCCCCCCCTTCCAGGAACCACCAAGTCTGCCTGCCTCCCACAGTGCCTGCCTGGCTTCTGGCCTTCCCCTGGCAGGGCTCAATTCTGCAGTCCCCATTCTGAGGACACCCCTTGTGCCAAGGCCCCACATGAAAGGATGAGGAGAGAAAAGCCCCTTCCACAGTCTCATAGCCCTGGGTCCAGTCCAAGCCTGAAGCCTCTTACCTTGTTCAGCAGATCTAAAGGAATGACCTTCTTGTTCACGGAAGCAGCATAGCGCAATACCTGCTTGGCCTCCTCCACCTTCCCTCTCACCATCAGCCACCGTGGAGACTCTGGAAGAATCCTGTGTGACCCCTCTCTCTCATCTCATCCTTCTAGGATGCTTCAGAGACCCAGTCAGTCCCTCCTCACCCTCATCTATGCCCATCCACATCCAACAGGAGATGACATAGACATTAGAGGCTGTGAAGGCCACCACCACCCTGGAGATGCCCAAGTCACACACAGCCCCCCACTTCTGCTGCCCTGCCACTGTACTCTTCTTACCCTCAGAGTCCTCTCTAAGAACATTCTCCTTCTGTACCTCAGGGAGTATCCTCATCTGCCTGGGCATCCTGAGGGCACCATCCTCCATGCCCACACCTTCTATGAGAGCCCTAGTTCTCACAGTTGGGGTTTTCTGTCTCCTTTTCTGTCTCCCTAACAGCCTGGGGATTACGCAGAGAAAGACCTCAGCTCTGACCTAGGGCCCAGGGTCCAGCACCCTGCCTGGACTGTCAAGGCTGGTCTCCAGCTTCTACATAATTTGGAAAGTCTCCAAGCTACTACCTACATGTGCTCTGCTCATTCTTAGGTGTTAACTGCACCTCCCATAATCCATGCTGTGTATAGTGCAGTGGTTAGTGTGCAGGGACTCTGAGCCATACAGACTGGGTTCAAATCCCTGTTCCTCTACTTTCTAGCTTTGTGACCTTGGGCAATAGAGAGTTATTCAGACTCTCCAAAGCCAAAGTTCTCCTCCCTTTGCCCTATAACTGCTCCATGGGACTGGCAGGGTCCATCTTTTGAGGTTGTAAAGATAAAGTGTAATTTTAAGATTCACTGTGATAATTTCTTCATACAAAACTGCCTGACCCTTAACAAATGAGTGTCCTCCCTCTCTGTCTTCTCTCCTTTTCCTACCTGCCCACAGTTAGCAACACTATCCCACTCCTGCTCCCATCTCCTCCACTAACTCCTTCACGTTTTGCTCCATCAGTTGTCTCTTCATACCTTCAATCTCTCGTATTCCTGTGACTCCTCTCCAGTTAAAAACATCAGATACTCTTCCCTGACTCTCAGCTCCCATGCCAGTCATCACTTTTCCCCTGCCCACCTCAGCCCAACACTGTGACAGTTATCTCCTTAGGGACACCATTTCCTCAGCTCCTAACCACTCAACTCCCTGCCACTCCACTGAAGCCACTTAAGAAGATCACCTAGGCCCAAAGACCCTTCTCCAGCCTCACCTTTCTTGTCTTCAACCCTGACCATTCCCTTCTCCTTGAACCTTGCTTTTCCACAGTCCTCCTCCTGACCTCCACCCCATTGCTGACATCTCCAAGGGGGGCGTTCCAGGGGCTCTGCCCTTGGCTCCTTCTTATTTCATCCACGTGTACTTTCTCCCAAGGGGAATCTCACCCACTTCCACCTCTACAAGCCCCTCCACACACCCTACCCTGATCACCAGCCCATCAGACCCATCTCTGTGCACATCCTGCACTAGCTTGCTCACCAGATATAGGGAATGACGGAGAGCACAGGTGCCCCACCAAGCAGAAACAGCAGCCGCCAGTGGGGAAGGATGTAGGCAAGCCCCAACAGGAACAGGATCCCAATGGAGAAATAGCAGTGTGACAGGATGACAGCGCGGGCCCGGTGCTCACCTACTAGCCACTCAGTGACTGTACAGAAGAGGACAAAACCACAGTCAGCTCAGGGCCTCAGGGCTGCTGCCCCTGTACGCAACCTCCTAAGATGTCCCAACACTGCCCTGGCAGCTCATACTGGGCAGAGGATCTTGTGCCTGCCTATAGTCTGTACCTTGTCCAGAGATAGGCCCTCAAAGCCAGGCAGAGTTGCTTTATGCCCCTAGGGCACACCTGAGGCCCCTTGCCTGGCCTCCCAATCACATAGCAGCTCCTTTTCAATCTGGCTGCTGCCTCTGAACATCTCTTGCCTGACCATATGCCTCTCACAGAGAAGGCCTGGCTCTGCACAGTACCACACATGGCCTACCACTTGTGGCCCAAGGCAAGGAGTCACTATCCACACCTTCCCTCTGAGCACGTTAGTGCTTTAGCCCCCGAGGCCTAGGGCTCTGTGGACTAGCCAGTTCACCCCCAGGGAGCTCTGGCAAGCTCCCAACAAGGAAACAATTCCTGCCTGGGAACCATGAGCACACCTGGCCACCGCAGCTGTAACACTGTAAGAGTGTTTATGCTCCCAGGCTTTGGATGGGGTGGGACAGCAACTGAGCACAGACTGGAATCACTGAGGATTGTTTCCTAGATACAGGCTTTGGGATCACATCCCAGCTTCTTCACTTAATAGCTTAGCCAGTTAGTTGTTAAATTCTCTGAGGTGCAAGTATCCTTATCGGCTAAAGAAATAACAAAATAGTGCCTACTGAATAGTGTTGTTGAAGGAAATGAGACAATGCATATAAAGGTTTAGCCTCTCATCTGGCCCGTCCTTAGAGCTCTGTGCGGGAGGTACTTAAGGGGTACAGAGAGAATATGGGGATGGGAGGTGGTAGGATGGAGGCTAAGGATAAGAGGGCAGGTTGTGCACTAACGCCAGCCTATCCATTATCCAGGCACCCAGGAGAGGAGGCTCTTTCCATCTCTGCCAGCCTGATTGGGCCCCAGACTTTGTCCTGTGGACTCCTGGTAGGTACACACAGCCGCCCTACCTGGAGAGGGCCCTGCCCCCAGGAAGCTAGGCCTCACCTAAAGACATGCTGCTGATGATGTAGCCCGCCACCGCCTGGGAAACAACGAAGCGGAAGAGCAGATAGACTTGCAAGCTGTTTACGAAGGCTGTCCCAAAGCCGAAGATGAACAGCCCCAGCAGCGACAATAGGATGGCGGGGTAGCGGCCCAGCCTGCAGATATCGAAAGAGGCTACGCCAGGCCCCGAAACCTCCTTGGCTGCTACCAATGGGGCACCAGGGACCAGTCCCTAAACCCTTCACTGGCATCTGGAGTGCCCCTACCCGAACCTCCCCCAGCTTGAGAGCCTTCACCTCTCTATGCCCACAAGGAGGGTGGATGTCCCGGGAGAATAGTGAAAACACCAAGAGACTCACTTGTCACCTATGAACCCGAAGATAATAGATCCTATCAGGAGGCCCGCCATGTACACAGCCACTATCAGTTCCCAGTTCAGTTCCTTGCCACACACCAGGTCAAACTGTGGGTCATACACAGGGATTGGCCACAGACCTCCACCCAGAGTCACCCTCCTGGGTCCAGAGCCTAAGCCTTCTCACTGAATGAGAGTCTTTAAGGAGATGGAGCCTGGGAGAAGGGGCCTGTGTGTGCAACAGGCCTCAGCAGTTACCTCTGCATCTCACTCTGGCCCTGGCTACCCCCGTCCCCCACCGGGGAGCTAGGCCTGGAGGGAGGGCCCAGAAGCACAAGCCACATGGAGGATGGGGTGGGGCAGCAACTGAGCACAGACTAGAATCACTGAGGATTGTTTCCTAGATACAGATGCTGGACCCCAGCCCGGAGATTCAAATTGGATAGATCTGTGAAGGGCCCCTGGTCGTGCAGTGGTTAATCACCCTGCTGCTAACTGCAAGATCAGTGGTTTGAACCCACCAACTCCTCCCTGAGACATATGTCTGGGGAGTCTGCTGCCGTAAAGATTGCAGCCTTGGAAACACTAGGGGGTGGTTCTGCTCTGACTTGGGGTCTCTATGAGTTGGAATCAACTCGGTGGCAATGGGTTTGGTTTTTTAGTTTGTGGAGGCCCCAGATTGAAGCAGCTTCTTTCTTATTCCCTATCTTCTGAGAGTTCTGAGGGCAGAGCCATACTACAGAAGCAATTCCCTGGGAAGATATCAAACCCTGTCATCCAATATCCACCTTTCCCCTAACTTCCTGGCTAAGGCAGACTGGCTGGGGCTAGGCAGCAGAAATTCCACGTTTCTGTCCTGGCCTTGTCTCTGCAGGGTGACCTCAAGCCAATTACTCCCTCTCTGTGGACTTCAGTCTCCCTACCTGTTCAGTGAGGGTGGGGGCACATGTCTAGGCCTTGGGATGGCTACAGACAACTCAACACAAAGCATACCTCATCTGTCAGTGATCGCCTCTCAGACTCAGGATAGAGCCACTCATTTTGGCACATCTCTGTGTGGTTGAGGCCAAGTTTGATGATGGACTCTAGATCCCAGTCCACAGGTGAGTACATGAGACATGTCAGGAAGCTGCCATTGGAGTCTTGGGGGATGGTCAAATTCAGCTGCTCAGCCTCTGACAAGTTAGAGTCCATTGCCAGGATCCAGCTGGTGTTGCAATAGGCCTTCTGGGCTGTGAACACGAAGGAGTCAGCAAACATGAAGAAGCTTAACAGGATGTTGGGGATGAAGGTGAGGGCCACCAGCCTCCGCTGGAATGTGCCAAACTCCCCCACTGCATTCAGGATGCTGGCAAACGTGTCATCCTCATCCTCATCGGATCTGATGCCCTTCGGTCTCTGTAACAGCATCTCCAGACAAAAGGAATGAGGATTCAAGATCCTGGAAGAATAATGGGATTTAAGTTGCTCTACCTTGGAATTGTCTTCCCTTGCCATCTGTTCAAAGAAAGGATGCAGCTCAGTCCCTATTAACACCACTCTAGGCACCAGAGGTCAACATGAGAGCAGTGACCAGGCATTGGCCTGACTGGCTTGGAACAATACAGATTTCAACCTTGATGTTCTTTGTAGTCCCCTTCTCTGCTTCTGATGTTTCTTGGTTAGCACAGTTTGCCCCTTGTTGACCCATCCACCGCTGATTCTTAATGCATTTAAGATTATTTTTTTTTTAATGTGTAAGAAAATACTATGCTTCTGTTGTCAGGAATGACTAAATTTTTAGGAACTCTCCCGCAACTGTGGGAGCTCTGGTGGCGTAGTGCCTAAGGCATCTGACTGCTAATCGGAAGGCTGGAGGTTCAAACCCACCAGCCACTCCTTGGAGGGAAGATTGGGCAATCTACTTCCATAATGATACCACCTCAGAAACCCAAAGAGGGGTCTCTGTGAGTCGAATAGAATCAATAGCAATGAGTTTGGTTTTGGTTTCCTGCGACCGTCCTACAACTGAAACTTTGTTTATGTCCACACATTGAGGCATAGTTAGGAGAGGTTTCCAGGGATATTTCATTCAAAAACCAAACCTAAAAGGTCTGTATCAGAAGTGGCCAGGAGCTGGGGTGGCTGGAAGCCTTGGCCACAAAGGTGGGAAGCCAGAGCTGCTGGGGTGGGAACAGAATAGTAGGGCAGCATTCAGTGGCACAGAGCCAAACTGGGAAGAAAGGTAAGAGGAGGAGTGAGGGAGCAATACTGACTGTAAAGAAATTATCTCGGAACAGCAGTCGGTGGGGAACATAACCCCCCACAGAGTTATCTTTTGAGCCAGAATCCTCAGGGGCACCCTCTGGCTACCACCAGAAGCAAGCTTTATCCAAGGAAGATTTCTCCAAGCTAAGCATGCAGAATTCCCACAGATTAAAGTCAAGCAAAGAGCTCAAAACAAAGATAATCAAACACATGAGAAGGCAAGCCATTGTGAGCATCAACAGAAACAAAAAACAACAGACTTGACTGCAGATGTTGAGAACTGTCAGATACAGAATATAGAGTAACTACTGTATGAGCTTTTTTAAAAAATAAAAGACATAATTACAAAGATGAACTTACAACAAGGAGCTATCAGAGGAGACATGAACTTCTAAAAATGAAAACTATAAATGTTGAAATAAAAACACTAAAAGGAAAGTTAAACAGATTAAAAGCTGAAAACCAAACCCATTGCCATTAAGTTGATTCTGACTCATAGAGGACCTTTAGGACAGAGTAAAACTGCCTCATAGGGTTCCCAAGGCTGTAAATCTTCACAGAAGCAGACTGCTTCATCTATCTCCCATGGAGCAGCTGGGGGGTTTAAATTGCCAACCTTTGGTTAGTAGCCAAATTCTTTAACCATTATGTCATCAGCTAAAATATGAAAAAGAGGTAAAGAGACATGGAAGGTAGAATCAGAAGATTTAACATACATCTAATTGGAGCCCCAGAAAGAGAAATGGAGAAGCAATACTTAAAGAGATAATAGTAATAAATATTCCAAAACTTGAAAAACATGAATCCTTACTTTCAGGAAATACATGTCCCATAAAAGATAAGTAAAAAAGAATCCCATGGTTAGATATATTGTAATGAAACTGCAGAACATCAATGACTAATAAGTGATCTTGAGAAATAGCTAGAGAGAAGACAGATCACTGACAAATGAACGGTGTCAGCAGTCTTCTTAACAAGCAACAAAGGAGACAGTGAAGAACATCTTCAAAATGATGGCAAAAAGTATAGTAAACTGTTTACTCAGCAAACTGACCTGTTAAGAACTATAGTAAAATAAAGACAGTTGTAGATAATCAAAACTTGACAAAACATGCAAGCAAGAGACCTGCTTTAATAGAACTTTTAAAGAATGAGAAGAAAATTAACTCAGAAGGACAGCTTGAAATGTAGTAATATGCAATCAGAATAGTAAACATGTAAGTAAATCCAAACATTAATTTGTACTAAATAATATAAACACTGTCTAATCTGCAGAGTTTTTTTTTTTTTCTCTAAACAGAAAAAAAAAAAAAAAGATAAAGTGATGGATAACAATAACATATAAGTAAGGAGGAGGGAGACAATCAGAGCCAAAGTATCCTAAAGTCTTTCTATGGTTCAGGATTGGAGAGGGGAGTTACAATTCAAAGTTACATGTGCATGATACCATTTCAAAGGATAACCACCAAAGGATTAATAAATAAGTAGAAAATAGTAGTAGAAAAAAAGCAACTAAAAGGAAAAATAAAAACTCCTCAGACTAGAAAAATTCAGAGAAAGAGGAAAAACACATAGAAAAATTATAATTTATCATTTTAAAATAATTCATAATTTTTTGTAGTAATTATGGTGGGAGAAATTAGTTAATACATAATGATCACTAGTTAAAAGACAAAAATGGCTGGATTTAAATATTTTTAATCATATTAATAAGCTTTTTTTCAATTGGCATAACATGCTACACAAAAACATTTTTCTACATCCTAGTTTGGTGAGTAAGTAGTGACTGGGGTCTTAAAAGCTTGCAAGCAGCCATCTAGATGCAATGATGGGTCTCTCCTCATCCAGAGCAAAGAAGAATGAAAAAAACCAAAGATGCAAGGAAACAATAGTCCAAGGCACTGGCAGACCATGTGATCCTGAGTTTATATGACCATGAGAACAGAAGAACTAGATGGTGCCCGGCTACCACTGTAAACCACTAGGAGGGCGATCTATGTAGGAGATCCTGGATAGAGTGGGAAAAAATGTGAAACAAAACTCAAAATCATAAAAAAAAAAAAAGATCAGGTTTGCGGGTCTGATAGAGCCTGGTGAGACCTGAGACTATGGCCCCTAGCTGCCCTTCAGGTCTAGAATTGAACTCAATCCTGTGGCTTCCAGCCAAACAACAGACAGACATATGGGCTGATTTACATCATGTAGATACACCTCTTGGAGCGATCAATCATCAATCGTGGGAGAATAGAAGGGCAGTGTCTGCACAGGGAGACCTCTTGGGGGGGAGGGGTGGGAGTGCACAGGAGGAAAGGACACTGGGAAGAGGTAACTATGGGGAGGAAGTGGGAAGAGAGTTGTTACATTGTGGGGAATTGCAGTCAATGTCATGAAAAAAATGTGTATGAACTGCTGCTATATGGAAAATGAATTTGCTCTATAAACTTTCACACAAATTACAATAAAAAAAGAAAATAAATTAATATGCTTTTTTAAAATAGGATAATCAGTATTTCCCAGTTTTCCTAGAACATATCTGATTTATGCCTGTTGTGCTGGCATAGTTATTTACAGTGTTCCCTTTCCTTCTAAAATTGTCTTGATTTGGATGACAATATGGTCGTCCTTGACTGCTAACCAGAAGGCTGGTGGTTCAAAAACACTAGCCACGCCTCAGAGGGAAGGTTGGGCAATCTACTTCTGCAGTGATACAGCCTCGGAAACCTAAGGAGGGGTCGCTATTAGACGGGTCCGACTCGATGGCACATAACAACAACAACAACATAAGAAGGTACAGAAAAACCTAAGGACATGAACAGGCTGAGAGTAAAAGGATGGAAAGGGTTATATTATGCAAATAATTAAAAGAAAGCTGGTGTAGCTGTACTGCTATCAAACACAATAAGCATTAAGATAAAACATCATTTGGAAGAGAGAAGCTCACTATTTAAAGATAAAACTCACACACCAAACAATTAATTCTAAGTAGACATATAAAAGGCAGAACTAACAGGAGAAATTGACAGCTCTGATATCCTAATAAGGAGCTCTGGTAACACAGCACCTAAGGCATTTGACTGCTAACCAAATGTTGGTGGTTCAAATCCACCAGCCACTCCATGGAAGGAAGATGGGGCAATCTACTTCCATAAAGATTTACTGCCTCAGAAATCCAACGGGGCTGCTATGAGTCGGAATCAACTTGATGGCAGTAGGTTTGGTTTTTCCTTGAATATCATAATGAGAAATTTCAGTGCACCTCTTTCAATGGTTCTAATATGCAAACAGTTAGCAAAAATATAGATTATTTGAATAATACAACTGAACTTTATCTAAAGACCATTTACAAAATTTTGCACCTAGTAATTAAAGAGAACACATTTTCCGCAAGCCTCCTTGGAGCATCTGTAAAACTTGATTACATAGTAGGCAATATGCAAGTCTCAACAAATATCAAAATATCATATAGACCTGGTCTTCTGACTCTAAAGCAATTACATTAACAGTCAATAACAAACAGCCTATAGCTTAATTTAAAATTCCAATATATTTTTCACACATTTGTAATACAGTGATATTCTTTTGTCACAGTCTGCATTCCATCCTGGATTCCCTCAATCTCCTAAATTATTTTTTTTTTTCAATTTGCATACCTTAAGTTCACTCTTTGTGCTATAAAGTTCCATTTAAAAATTGTAGTAAAAAATATGTATCACAAAAAATGTCTGTTTCAACCAGTTTAAAGTGTATGATTCAGTGACATTAATCACATTCTTAATCACATTCACTACGTTGTGCAATCATCCCCACTATCTATGTCAAAAAAAAAAGTATCCTCCTAAATAGAAACCCAGTACTCCTTAATCAATAACTTCCCATTTCCCCTTCCCTTCATTCCCTGGTCAAAAAAACCAAACCCATTTCCATTGAGTCGACTCTGACTTATAGAGACCCTCCATTGGGTTTGAGGTGGTAAATCTTTATGGAAGTAGATTGCCCAGTCTTCCTTCCACAAAGTGGCTGGTGGGTTTGAACCACCAACCTTCTGGTTAGCAGTCAAATGCCTTAGGCACTGCACCACTACAGCTCATTCCCTGGTAATCACTGTTAACTTTTGACTCTATGGATTTCTTGTTCTAGATATCTCATGTAAATGGAACTAAACAGTATTTGTCCTTTTTAGTTTGACTTGTTTCACTTAGCATAATGTTTTCAAGATTCATTCATATCATACCATGTATCAGAACTTCAAT